TGATTTCTCGCTTTCTGTCTCTATGTCTCTCTCTGTCTGTCTGGCGAGTGCACGCACCCGATAGCAAAAACCTCTCCCCCCAAAAAAATTAGAAGATAGAGACATAGGTAGAGAGAGACAGAGGGCTTGAAAGGCTTCCTACCTACTATTCGAGTTTGTGGGCTGGAGGCTGAATTATCAGTGGAATATCTTAATTTCTCTTATTCCCCCGAAATCACTAGTTCTCAGGAGCCATGAAAGTGTCTTTTGAAGGCCTGTTCCCTTGCCTCTCCGTTTGTGGACTGGAGGCTGAATTATCAGTGGAATATCTTAATTTCTCTTATTCCCCCGAAATCACTAGTTCTCAGGAGCCATGAAGGTGTCTTCTGAAGGTCTCTTTCCTTGCCTCTTGAACTGTTTATGATGCTGGAATGAGCAAGGATACTCATTCAGTAGACCCAGAATCAGGTTTGTGCCACCCTCTGCAGAGAGACAAAAATTTGATAAATAAAGAAAGGAGTGGGAACCAGCAGTCAGTGTAATGGCTATGTCGCTGGACTCCCAGGTAGTCGACCATGGTTCGTGTCCCAGACCCGGTGGCTTAAAACTCATACTGGGCGCATGAGCGTGCATGCCCAAGATCCTGAGAGGAGAATGGAGAAGGGATTGCGGCGTGACCATCCCCTCTGGGGGGTGATTTCTCGCTTTCTGTCTCTATGTCTCTATCTGTCTGGCGAGCGCACACGCCCTATAGCATAAAAAAACCTCTCAAAAAAAAAAAAAAAGGAGTTTATTGAGTGAGGCCAACATCAGGGGTAGACCTGAGTTCGTAACTACTACTGCTATACTGGACAAGATACAGATCTTATATGGGGGGAAAAAGCAAAACAAAACAAAACAAAGGGCAAGTTATTGAGGAGACTTGTCTTCTGTAAGATCACAAAAATTTAAAAAAGGAAGAAAAACAGTTAAAAAATAAAATAAAAGGCAAAAACCACAAAAGGATTTGGGGGGGGGGCATTGTTAAGTCCTTTGTTTGGGGACAGTTATCCTTGGCTACCAGGATCAGTAACAAGGGCAACACCATTTCAAAGTAGGAGACTCTCTGGACTTTGCAGTAGCTGTCCTTATGTCAGGTAACAGTGGTCTTTGTGCAGTGTTGTGGTTCTGGCAGAGTTCTTTACCTAATAATTTTTGTTACCAAAATTTCTCTATAATAGCATGAGAGAGCGCTTCCTCCATGGCCTTCCTTAACTCAATTTAGTTATGTTGACATAAATGACTCCATTCTGGTTCTGACAAACTGTCACAATACCACTTAAGGTCCTAGGAAAATAGTGAACATGGTTAAAATGTCTGCCCTCCCCCTCGAATTATGTAACACTAAATTTCTGGCACTGAAATGATCAAAAGTAATAAGTATTAAAAATTCTTATGTCTAGAATTTTCAGGCAATATTTTTTTTTTACTTCTTTGTCAAGGCAAATGATATGATTTTTTTTGAGAGAGAGATTTTCACTGTAGGGCGCGTGCGCTCGCCAGACAGAGAAAGCGAGAAATCACCCCCCAGGGGGGATGGTCATGCCGCAATCCCTTCTCCTCCATTCTCCTCTCGGGATCTTGGGCACGCACGCACACGCGCCGGCGTGGGTTTTAAGCCACCGAGTCCGGGACGCAAACCACGGTCGACTACGTGGGAGTCCAGCGACATAGCCATTACGCTAACTGCTGGTTCCTGCAAATGATATGATATTAATAAATCACAAATTACTCTCCAATCTCAAATGATAATTGCTTATTATGGAATATTATACAAAAGTGGCCACTAACACAAATTAAACATATGAAACATTTGTACTCTGATTTTTGGTACTTTGTTTTACAAACTTTTAAAGATATGGAAACTAATATCTAGCTATATTTCTGAATTTACATAAAAGATAGGACCGTTTTGTTTTGTTTTTCATTTTTTGAGGTTTTTCCCATAGTGTATATGTACTTGCCAAAGAGAGAGAGAAAGTAAGAAATCATCCCTCAAGTGAGATAACCACTCTACAGTCCCTCCTCCATCCTCTTAGAATTTTGGGCATGCACACATACATGCCTAGCATGATTTTTAAACCACCAGGTCCAGGACTTGAACCATGGTTGGCCATATGGGAATGGAGCTGCCTAACCACTACACTACCTGCTGGCCCCAGGAACCTGTTTTTGAGGCCTGTTTTATTTTCTTTTTTCTCTCTATAGTGTTTTATCCCTGTTGCCTTAGAGAGACTCTGTGATAGTATTCCCCCAAAAAAGAGAAAGTGAGAGAGATGAAAGGTGCTACCCCTGGGATTGAACCCAGACCTTTTTGTTTGCATGCTGTGGTATCTGATAAGTCTAGTCTTTAAGTGGTTTGAAGTTGGTAAATTTTCTTGCCCATCTTGGCTCCTGAACTGCTGCAGGCCCTTTTCTTAATCCTAGCAAGCATTAAGGAACAGTTTTAGGATTTCTTTATTTCCTTCTTTCTTCTTCCCTTCTCTTCTTTCTCCCTTCCTTTTCCATCCTTATTTTAACAAGTAGTTGAGAGTTTGTATGTTAAGTCCAGTTTTTTTTCCTCTCACAAATGTAGATGCTTTCACATGCATGACCTTAAATATAGAGGTTAATCTTGTTTTCTTAAGACAGTTCATTCCTAGAAGTACAGGATCTCGATATTACTTATGCTTAATGCTAACTTGTGAGTAACTTACCTACTAAGGGATTCCTTTTCCATTTTTACTGAAAAGGTGCATATTTCTTCTTTCTGTAAGTTCATTTCTGCTTAGATTCAGATTTTGAAAGCTGTTTACTTCTTTGCAGACTGTGACATTTAGTAAAAGCTGTGTGGTCAGTAAATTTGTATTCAAAAAGTTGTTTTCTAAATAAAGACAATGAACAATGGCTCTGATGCGTAGTTGAAATTAAAGTGAGCTTTACAGAACAGTTGCGGATAAAAGGATTTCTGATACAATAGGTAAATATTAGGCTCTTAATGTGATTATTTTGTTTGATGATGCATGTTTCACAAATCCGTGATACCTTAGCTAAGTCAAGTAATATCCCTAGGTAAACTGGGGCATTTTAAGGGAATATTCCTTCAGTGCATAATTATCAAAAATGTAAACCTTTGGAGGGAAATAGAACAGAAGCAAGATAAAGAATTTGGGAATTGCATTTTAAAAAAGAAGGAACTACATGTTCCTCAACTGTGAATCAGTACATTTCAATAATTTACCCTTAGTGTCCAAAGAGGGAAATGCTAATACTGCTTTTTCTATATTAGCAGTTCTCAGTAAGTCTTTTGAATAATATAGGTAGTTTCCCCCAATACCAAATAATCTAAAAAGCATAGTTTTGTTTCATGTTTTCTTGTTTTGTTTTTATCTAAGTGATCTTTTCTCTCCTTTTGCTATTTGCTATGTAAAGCATCTATGACCTGGATCAGTTCCCTTGCTTCTGCCTTCATGGGCCCGGTTTTTCCAAGTTTCTTGTAATTTGTAACTAATGCAAGTTTAGGTATAAAATGATTAATATTATAATAGGATATCAGAGAACAAGTGCCAGGATCTATATATTTTTAATAACAGATTACTTTCTTATCCTTTATATTTTTATTGTTTTTAAAGAATTGTTTATTTGAGGCAGGTGGCATGGTGGTTGGGACACTAAACTCCCACATGACCAACTGCAGTTTGAGTCCTGGACCTGATGGATTGCTTTCTCACTTTTTTTCTCCCTCTCATGCATGTACATATGCCCTATAGCAAGTTAAAGAAAATGATAATAAAATAAATATTTTTAAATAATTAATTTTATTGTTACTATTATTATCATTATTATTTTAATTTGCTATAGGGCATGTGCACTCATGACAGAGAGAGAGCAAGCAAGCTGCTAGGTCCAGGACTCGCACTGCTGTCAGCCATGTAGAACCCTTAACTGCCACACCATTTGCTGGCCCCTTTCTTATCCTTTTTTGTTGTACTAGCTCCCCTTCCTGTTTAATTATAACAGTCATAATCAACTGATTCTAATAACAAGAAGTTGTGGTTACTGTGTGTTGATGGAGATCCAGTAGAAGGTATAACAGAAATATCAGTAGCTGTACAAGTATGTGGTATTGGTTGGAGTATAGGGCATAGAATAATAATTTGGGGAGGAGAGGATTGGAAAACAGTGGCACAGCCATGAAATATGATACTCTGAGAGGTAGTCCCACTTGGGAATGTTACCAGTTCAACTCATGAAACCTCTCTGGGGCTGGCTGAAGCTGAGAGTAGATCATAGTATTGGGACTCTACTGGGGATGTTCTCGCTTTCTCTCTCTCTCTTAGTCTCTCTCTCACTCATGAAAGAAATAACCTGAAAAACAGAGAGATAAAGGGACATAAAGTAGGAATTTAAATTACTGCCTAATCACTGAAAACTTTAAATGCTAGGATTAGGAATTTGAACTTTATATATAGTGTTGTATCAGTTGAGTAGGAAAATATTGTGATGTGCTTCAGAAAGTGAAGATATATTACATTTTTAAGCCCAAGTATTGTTTTGGATGTAGCACTTAACTTCAGTTTGGATAACTCATCATCCCATATGAACCTCAAAGTTGAAGATAGCCTTGTAGAATGGGATCCTACTGGAGGAAAAGGTCAAGAAAGTAAAATTAAAGGAAAAGAAAACAAAGGCAGGTAAGCTGGTTCTTTAAATCTGTTATGTTTGATAAATGCTTGTACAATGATTATTTAACAATAACTTCTATTGAAATTCTTATCCTATATACCAGTGATTTATGATATATTACTAACATCAACATGAAGAATATACCGTTTGTCAGTACTTAAATTTGTCATTAACATTTGTGATTACTTTCTTCTTAGTTTCTTCTCTATTCATCTTATGTATTTATATTTCATTATTCCATTTCTTTAAAGATATATCGGCAGTACCTTGAACTGCTTAGAGAGAAGTTCTAGTATATTTCTGAATTTTAGACTTATAGGTCATGTGTCTTACATCAAGTTCCATGCTGATGACTTTAGCATGTGTAAGCTGAGTATTGTCCTTGATCAACCCAGTGAACACAAGATGCAGGCTTGAGGACTTTTCTTACTGTCATAACTCATTTAGGTAATGTCAGTGTATAAGAGTCTCTTTTTTTCTCTTCTTTTCTTTTTTATAGGGCATGTGCACTTGCCAGAAAGAGAGACAGAAAGCGAGAAATTACTCCCCAGGGATGGCCACGCCACAATCTCTCCTCCTCCATTCTCCTCTCGGGATCTTGGGCATGCATGCACACGTGCCCAGCATGAGTTTAAGCCACCGGGTCTGGCACTTGAACGACAGTCCACTACATGGGAGTCCAGTGACATAGCCAATACGCCAACTACTGGTCCCAAGTCTCTTTCTTTCTTTCTTTCTTTCTTCTTTTTTTTTTAAATAATTATTTATTTTATTTATTCATTCCTTTTTTTTTTTTTTTTTTAAATTTGACCAGAGA